CACAAGCACCCACTCGGCCGCCGCGCCCGCCGCCCGTGCCCCCCCGCCCGCCACCCAAGCCGCCGTCCCCGTCGCCGCCACCACCGCTCCTGCCTTCCGTACCGCGGCGACCCTTACTGCCTCCGTCGCCCTTACCGCCGCCGCCGGCGCCGCCGGCGCCGCCGGGCTGCCTACGCGTAACCGCCCGTACGGGCAAGCTATACAGCGAGTACGTACTAACCGATTCGGGTAATTTGACGGTTGGCAGTTATGACTCCAGAACTATAAAACTGGACCTTTCCATGACGCAATTCTTCGCTGCGGATGACAGCATCGTCATGGATCTGTACCGACAGGTTCGTAATATGTGTGGATCTTGAATTCAAATATTTGAATTCTTAGATTTTGCATTTTCCATTCACCATTTCTATCCAAAGGAACTAAAACCAAAAATTCATCCACGCTGGACGACCCCCCTTAGCTTCCATCTCCCTTGTCTCTCTCTTATACTCTCTCTCTCTCTCTCTCTCTCTCTCTCTCTCTCTCTCTCTCTCTCTCTCTCTCTCTTTCTCTATCTCTCGCGCTAGGGTTGTAAATAATTAGAGAGAGATGTATGTTTTATGGTTTTAAAACCCTACATATATGTATATGTGTGCGTCTGCGTGTGTGCGTCCCATACAAGCATTCCTTTCCCCTCCCGCCACCTTCCTTCTTGTCTGCTTCCTGCCGCACTCCCCCGTTCCTCAACCACCGTCACGCTCTAAGACCTTCTTCCCCCCATCGGTGTGCCAGACACTGCCGCTACCCACCGACTGCCCGGCTGCCGAAGATGTGGGATATTCGGGCACCGTGGCCTACAAGATTTCGCCCAACTGCAGCACCAAATCAACGCGCTTGCTTGTGGATGTCTCCTCGGTGATGCCCTGTTATGCCGACAACCCGGCTGTTGTGGGTGAGCTCTGACTTTGAGTAGTTGGAGTTTGGTGGAAAGAGTATAGAAGAATCAGAACAAGGCATTCACGAGCTCCTTTCCTGTAGTTATATGGGCTTATTCCAACTGTACATTAGGTTAAACAAAAGGTTTGCAATTGTTCAAGTAAGAATTTTGAAATTTTGAAATTGGTGGATATGAAAATTCAAATTTGGGAAATGAAAACAGGATGAAACTTGCCGTCTTTTGATAATTTCCGCAAACCCATCTCCGGTTGGACTTCGCCAGATGCTGCTGAGTTCTGGTCTTTGGATAAAAAGGAATTGCAGCACCTGCGATTTGAAGCTGGAGCCAAGGAGATCGTCATCCTGACCATCCACCACAATTCCACATTCAAATAATTTGCTCCCGGACGAATATTGCTCCTCATCCCACCTTCTATGGAGTTTTATTCAGTCCGTTTGATGTCTTAGATTTTGGCAGTAAATTCTTGCTCTTTTCCATAATCATACACCGTCATCTTTATCGTCAAGTCCCGTGTTACGCCCAGGACACCACAGCCTCTCACCTGGTTGCGCTCCTCACCTCTCTCGTTGCCATTCAGGGACCTTTATTATTTGGTTGGCGGTGTACACGGGCCCAACGGTAGGTACGGCATGGTACGACACAGTGCAGCACAGTGAAACGAAGGTTAACATTTATTGCAGGTTTATATCAGGGATATCAGAACCGAAACGCGTCGAACTTTGGAAAGACATTGGAAGGACTGAATTTGTAGCTTTTGGATGAAGGACAAGGACTGGGGGTTTCCGGGCGATTGGTGTTTCCAGGTTGTGGCGAAGAAGCCTAGCTACGGGCCTCAAGACAATGCGAGAAGAGAAGTAACCCGGGGGTAGCTGTGTAGGTTGTATGTATGCCTGTATATATGTGTGTCCTAATGATCTGGGCCGCTGGCAGAAGCAGCTGAGAATGGTACATGAGTAACTGTTTCGGAAGCATGTACGGCGACGTGTACACAATTTAAAAAATATATAATTTTATTTTAGATTTATTATTTTATAGATGTAATGTATATTCATTATAATGCAGATTTATATTACATATATTATTTAAATAATGTTTTTATGTTGATACATTCAAAATACAAAAAATGGCGTGAAATGAATATGTGTTCCATGTCATATTATTATGTTTCAAATGTCCTGCATTTGTTGTCCGTGTTTGTTATCTGTTATCTGTTATGTTACAAGCTCGCGAGAGCTCGTAAGGCCCAGACGATCCAGGAGGCTCATGGACCGCGAGTTCTAGCGTAGTCAAAAAGAAGGAAGAAACAGAAAATAAAACAGGGGTTATGTTACTCTATTTGCCTCCTGTGCCCGCTTTCAGGCTTGTACGGCGAATAACAGGAATTCAAGCACCACATCGAACGTGACGACGCTTTGGGGAGGAACTTCAATTTCGCGACTGACAGCTGCAGGTTGCGCCTATTTGAATTTCACGCTCACATGCGATTCGAGCTGCCTCGCGTCGCGGCCGCCGCCGCTCCCCCCCCCTCTGCCGCCGCCGCCACAACCGTCGTACATGCCGCCGCCGCTTGAGCCGAGCAAGCCGCCGCCGCCCCTGCCGGTCCAACCGAGACCGTCGCCGTCGCAGCCACCTTCGCCGCAGCCGCCACCGCCGAAACCACCATCGCCGCCGCTGCCACCCTCACCACCACCGGCGCCGCCCCTGCCACCCTCACCACCACCGTCGCCGCCGCTGCCACCTTCGCCGCAGCCGCCACCGCCGAAACCACCGTCGCCGCCGCTGCCACCCTCACCACCACCGTCGCCGCCGCTGCCACCCTCACCACCACCGTCGCCGCCGTTGCCACCCTCACCACCACCGTTGCCGCCGAAACCACCTTCGCCGCCGCTGCCACCCTCACCACCACCGGCGCCGCCGCTGCCACCCTCACCATCACCGGTGCCGCCCCTGCCACCCTCACCACCACCGGCGCCGCCGAAACCACCGTTGCCAACCTCACCACCACCGTCGCCGCCGCAGGCGCCTTCGCCGCCGCCGCTGCCGCCACAGCCACCACCGCCGCCACCATCACCACCTCTGCCACCGTCACCACCCCAGCCGCCCAAGCCTCCACCACCCCCACCTACGCCACCAAGCCCTCCCCCAAGCCCATCTCCGCCACCCTCACCACCCTCACCTCCTCCACGACCTCCGAAACCACCGGCTCCACCGCCCCCCCCACCTATGCCCCCGAAACCTCCTCCTGCGCCACCCACACCTCCCTCTCCCCCATCGCCACCAGCACCACCTTCCCCACCTCCGTCAGCTCCATCACCGCCGCCGTCACCGCCGTCACCGCCGTCACCACCCCAACCGCCGTCACCGCCTACCTACCCCCTCAGCCCACAACCCAAACCGCCAACCCTTCCAACACCCACTCCCGCACGGCCGACGCTACTTCCGGCAGTCAACTATTCCCCCATGTCGCGAAAACAACCACCGGCGCCGGTACCGCCGGCGCCGTCAGCAGTACCGCCGATGGCCCCGCCGGCGCCGCCGCCCCTCGTGGGCACATTGGAAACGTACGTGAACCTTTCCAATGCCGTAGATCCAAATACGACACTCCCGGAGATTCCAGGTGCCGTTGTCTATGTGGATTTTAACTACCTAACCGCCACGGCCCGGTTCCAGGTAAAGCATTGGACATCCCTAAGGCACACGGGGTAATATGTGTATGTGTGTGTCTCTTCTGTGGATGTCTTCTGGGCCATGCATATATAATGCCTATTTAAGCCACTTATGGCCCTACGTATTAAACATACTTGTATGATTAGATGTGCGGGGTAATCAGTAGAGTGCAAGCGGGCTGGTGCGGGCATGTACGGGCTTCTTGTACGACAAATGACTCCTTGAATAACTCGTGCAGCACGAGTCAGAAATTTGTTTTGTCAGAAGTGTGTTGTTGACATTGACGACCTACGGTATACGATATAATACACATGTGTTTTGTTTATGTGCCTCACGCATGCTCCGAAACCACCAGGGTGATTCGCCGTACGCCAGCTGTGCATCTTCCGTACAAAGTAGCCTCCTGACGGCGCTGTCCGGCTTGCTCAACTTCCCAGCCGGCAACATGACGTCATCTTGTACGGTGGAAAGCACTTCTTCATCATCTTCGTCTAGTGCTACCGGGCGCCGACTAAACGCAGATAGCTCGGTGAGCACCTCCCAACAGAAAAAGGCCTCCTTGAGCGTTCCGGATCGCGCCTGAAGGGGACTCAAATTCCCCAAAAAAAGAACTCAAAAAAAGAAACGTTTTCCTCCCTCTCTTCCTGGGGGATTTCCAAAAGGGTCCTTTACTCTGTCGAATTTCTCGTAGGAATTGGGAACCGTCCGGATAGGGTGTTTATCCTTAGCATTTGGGTCATGTGTTGGTTTCGGAGCTCGGTTGGAGGTTTCGTCGGGGACTTAAAACTACTACAAGGTCCACTGGCCCTTTCCCCCTTTCGCCCCTTGGGGGGGTAATCGGTAATAAAAATATTGCTTTTCAAACCACCAATACCGCCCTAGCAATTTTCGATCTCCTTTCCCGTCCCTCCCTACCTCCCGTCTCTCCTGTCCCCCGCCCTGGGGCCCCAGATGTGGTGTGTATGTGTGTATGTGTGTTTCAACCCCCGCTCATTTCCGTCACCTTCCCCTCCCCTACCTCCTGTATCCCCTCCCCCGCCCTCCCTCACAGTCGAGCTGTACTTCAATGGTAAAGACGTATATCACCTTCAAGGTACGACATGTACAGCATGGCCTGTGCACGACACGACTATGTTTTATGCTCAGTTTGTGCGTATCGTCCCCTTGGGCAGGAACTTAAATAGTTGTACCGAAAGTTGCACATAGTTGTGCCGGAGGGGAGCAAAACTCAAGGGGGGGATTTGCGATTTACGAGGAATAGGCCCGGGAGGGAAAACACACACACACACCGGGAGGGGAAAACACACCGGGAGGGGAAAACACACCGGGGCATTGGGCGGACCGATGTGGGGGCTCCCCAGGGTGCAGGGAGCCTGCAGCTTACCTGGTCAGGCCGCGGTGGGGTTAAGGGAACTAGCTGCGGGTAGGTAACCCGGGCGGGTCGGGCCCTAGCACTGATGGTGCTGAGCCCGGGTAATTGCTGTTGCGTCATCGATGTGATCTGCCGTACATCTCCGCAATGGACCAATGGGGGTCGCGGGACGAAAAACTGACAGGCACTAACTCTCCCCCCGCAACACATACACACACGCATACATACATACGCACGCACACACACGCACACACACTATCAGAAAAATACACACACGCACAAATATACACACAAAATATGCACATACAAATAAATATAAAACCAAATGTACACACATGTCGTGACGCGCACGAGAAACGGAAACGCATTCACACCTTCTTTCCAGTCGCACCTCTTCCGTGCGCTCCCCACAAAACCCCCTCCCCCTTAAGCCTAAATCCAAACCCCAAACCTAAACTCTCGAATCCAAATCCAGATTGATCCTGCCGTACCCATGACGTCATTCAAGTCGTCCGTGTACAAGATTCTCAACAACGGCGGCGTCTCGGGCGTGTGTCCTCTGGGCCTTATGGATGGGACATGGGCGACGGAGGGATCCACGGTGAGCCCGCCCTGGAGCTGCCCGGGGAGTCAGTTTTCAAACGAACAATCGAGCAACTAACTTTGTTGCTGCTTTTTGAAACGTTAATTATTTTATTTACATATTATTTATTTTTTAATTTATCCTGAACTCACAATCAAGAAAACTGTGCCTATTTACGCAAAGATCCTAATTTGGAAACAATTTGAACGCTAAAACCCTGATGATGTGGCGCAGGTCCGCGCTATCTCCACTGGGAACTCCTCCTACACAGATTGCGGCTCCTTTAGCGATGCCGTACAGTCGGCGTTGTCGTCCTCCGGTGCTACCTCCGCCGCCGCATCCAACTGTCGTACACTCCAGTTCTCTGACGGCTTGGGATCGCCGCCGCCGCCCGCCCCCGCCGCTGCCGTCATTCTAGCCGCCGCCGCCGCCAAAAAAGGCGGGTTTCCTATTATGGCAATTGCGGGTGCTGCGGGAGGCATCATCGCCGGCCTTCTTGCCCTGGCAGCATTCCTCTACTATAGGAGGGTGAGTTTGTTGGGGGGAGGGGGATCGATTGGGTGGGGGAGAATAAGGGGGGGAGGGAGTCGGGTCAATGTCCTGACGGGTATGTTTTACCCCTGGGTTTGCACCCCCGCGAGCCGTCCCAAAGGCCAATGAGCGGGGCCGCTGCGATCAAGTTTGCCTTTGTGACCTGTCGTATTGCAAGTCTCATCATCGCGTCGTACAGCGTTCCGTACTTGGTGACCTGGTGTCGTACAAGTTTGTTCTTTTTTTATTATTCTTGGCTGCTACCCTGTTTGACAAGGATTTGCTCTGGTCCGGCCGCTCTGGCCTTTGCCTCCGAACGCCCTGGCATTGCCACCGAACTGCAGAAGAAGAAGAAGGGCAACGCCTTCACGGTAACCTCAGGAGCCGAACCCGGCGTGGCTGACGTCTTTGAGGCGAAGACGGAAGCGGTGCCCGGAGCTGATGTCGGCAGCGCGGCCGCCGCTGGCGGCGGCGGCGGCGGCGGTGGCGACGGCGTGCCGGGCGGCGCGACGGCGTGGGTCGGCGTGGCCGGAGGAGCCGTTCCTGGATCTGCTTTTGGTAAGGGCCAGGGCGGTGGCGGCGACGCCGTCGCAGGTAAGGACGCGGCCGCGGCGGCGGCGGTGGCGGCGGCGGCAGGGACACTAGACCCGGGAACCATGTCGCAGACGTCCAGCGGCAACGGCGGCGTTGGCGGCGCTGGCGGCACGTTTCTCGCCGGGCCCAGCGCATCTATTTCCGGCGCGTCGGCGGTCACCTTGGGAATGGAATCCAGCGCGGCGGCGCTGGCCGCTAGCGGCGGCGGCGGCGGCCCCGTCGAGACTGGCGGCGCGCTGTTCCGAAAGACAAGCAAGGCGCTTGGGGAGCCGGGCAGTGGTGGAGGCGAGGCTGGTAGCGGCGGAGGCTCTGCTACAGCCTCACCGCGAAGGACGACGGATGCTGACGGCAGCGGCGGCGGCGGCGGCGGCGGTGGGGCGTTGGGCGCGCTGCTGCTACGCAACGTCGCCGCGAAGGCAAAGGTTCTGCCGCCGCTGCAAAGCGCCGCTGGGGCACACCTGCCAGAGCTCGATCCGAATTTGGCACCGCCAGCGCTGGCAGGCAAGGCAGTACTGCCAACTGTTACCGGCGGCGCCGCCGCCGCCGCTGCTGCGGGCACTACTGGCGGCGTCGGCGGCAGCACCAGCAGCGCCGGCGGCGCTGCCGCTGCTGACGTGGCGGCGCTCCTCGTCCCGAAAGGCCGCAAGTCAGCGTTACCAGCGTTAGGGGTCCCCGTCAGCCAGTCTCTTGCCGTACCGTCCGCCAGCAATCCGCTCGTGAAGCCGCTGCTGCCTGCCCTGCATACGGCAGAGCACTCTCCCTCTGCAGCCGCAGCCGCCGGGGAGACCGGCGGAGGGGAAGTAGACAGTGCATTTGCCGGGTCGAGCGCGGCCGGCGCCGCCGCCGCTGCCGCCGCTGCAGCGGCGGCGACGCCGACGCGCGCCTCCGCCACCATCCCCGGTAGCCTTCACTCGTCCTCCATGAACGGGGCGGCAGGTCGTGCATTGGAGGCGAAGTACGGCGGCAATATTGGAGACGGTTTGGACGGCTTGGTGGAGGTGGGAACAGCCTCCTATGGGGTGGACGGAATAGTGCGACACGAATGGAAACCAGATGACTGAGAGCGTTTCCACTGGCTAATTAACTAACTAATTAACTAACCAACTAACTAACTCCTTGTTAATTTTTGTGTTGCAGGAGACCCAAAGCAGTGGGCCTTCGGTTGCAAGCACTCACGGTTTGTTCGTTCGTACGGGCGAAGCTTCGGGCGGCACATCATTGAAGGTCCCGACACTGGCGGTGAGTTTTTGAAAAACGGAGTTTTTGAAAAGCTGAGGTTTTGCAGAAATCTTTTTGTAAAAAAAACTCAAGTTATTAACGGACTTAGTGAATCTAAGTTCTAATGGACTAGTAAAGTATTTCTAGGGTCGACACCGCAGAGACCTGCAGCGGCCAAAATATTTAAACCATTGCAATTTTTATTAATTTTGTGAATGTTCATTGAGGACCACTTGGTGCTGGGCTGGGGGTCATAGAGTACGGTCTCGTCCACATGATGTACGGCAACGATTTTAAGATGACTCATTCTTGGTGCACTGGTACCCTCAGCGTCTGTTTGCCGGTTTGTCTGTTTGGCGTATCTCAAACGTTGGCTTCCCCGTGTATGCATGCATGCATGTATGTATGTATGTCACAGGAGGTCTCTGGAGAGCTCCAGCCTTTGGACAGCACGGAAGCTGGCGCCGCCGGCGCCGCGGCTGCGGCGGGGGCGGCTGGCGCCGCCGCCGCCACGGGTGTCGGTGTCGGCAGTGGACGCCGCAGCAGTGCCGGTGGGAGTGGCAAGGAGTGGGTTGTGCCTGTGACGCCCACTGCCGGGGATGGGCACGCCGCCGCGGCTGGTGGTGCCGCAACCCCATCGGGCAAGGGCTTCTTCGGAAAAATGTTTGGCGGCATGTTTGGCGGCGGCGGCAGCGGCGGCGGCGGCGGCAGCGGCGGCGGCGGCGGGGCGGCAAAAGAGCCTGCCGGCAGCTTTGTATCGCCTCGCGGTGGTTCGGCGACGACGTCGGAGCTGCCGACGTTAGCGGAACTGGACGCGGCCGCCGCCACCGCGGCGGCAGCGGCCGCTGCCACGGGAGCAGCGGCAGGTTCGGACTTTGTCCGTACAGCTCATGCAGGAGCTTTGAGTCGTGGACCATCGGTAAGCGGGTTTGGTGTGCCGACACTGGGAATGGAGCTCGGCAGCGCCGTCAGTGGTGCCGTCGCCGCTGGGCCAGGCCCGCGCGTCACCGGCATGGGCACCACATGGCAGAACTCCGCCGCCGCCGCCGTACCGACGGAGGGCGCCGCCAGCGCAGGTACTGCACCCAGCATCCGTACCGGTGCCATCCTTACCAGCGGCGGCGCCGCCGCTGGTGCCGCTGCGGCGCCCGACGTCAGCACGGACGCCGCCCCTGGCGGCGCCGCTGCGGCCTCGTCGGACGTACCTGCGGACCGCCCTCGAAACGCTTTGCCATCTATCCATTTGAAGAGCACGACGCAACTTAGAGCAGCAGCCAATATTGGCATTGATGTGGCTGAGGACGGCAGCGGCGGCGGCAACTGGGCTACTGCCGCCGCCGCCGCCGCCGGCGGCGCCTCAGCTTTCCAAGGTCGCCGCGGCTCCCGTACGAGAGGCTTGTTCGGTGACGGTGCCGGAAGCGGCGGCGGCGCCTCCGACGGACGCTCGCCGCCAGGATCTGGGAGTAGCAGGAGATCCGTACATCTGAAGCGTGCTGGCGCTGCCGGCGATGTGGGTGGCGATATCGACGGCGAGGATGCCGCCAGAAGCCCTTCAAGCCCTAGGAGAGGGGTACCCGGGGGACAGCGTAGTCGTACAAGCCGTTCTGCGATTGGCGGAGACGTTGGCGACGACGGCGACGCCGCTGCTACGGCGATCACCGGCGCCGGTGCCAGGGCTGGTTTCAGAGAGAAGCCCTCCGGCGTTCGATTGCGGTTGGGCGACGGCGGCGACGTGGGTGACGTGGACGGAGACGACGACGACGCAGCAGCTGGTGGGGTTTCAAAGGGCATGGCCAAATTCAAACGAGGCGGCGACGGCCCCGGCGGTGAATTCGATGAAGATGACGCCGCCGCCGCGGCGGCTGGCGGTGCCGCTGGCGGGAAGTGGGGCCAGGGCATGGCCAAATTCAAACGAGGTGGCGACGGCCCCGGCGGTGAATTCGATGAAGATGACGCCGCCGCCGCGGCGGCTGGCGGTGCCGCTGGCGGGAAGTGGGGCAAAGGCACGGCCAAATTCAAACGAGGCGGCGACGGCCCCGGCGGTGAATTCGATGAAGATGACGCCGCCGCCGCGGCGGCTGGCGGTGCCGCTGGCGGGAAGTGGGGCAAAGGCATGGCCAAATTCAAACGAGGTGGCGACGGCCCCGGCGGTGAATTCGATGAAGATGACGCCGCCGCCGCGGCGGCTGGCGGTGCCGCTGGCGGGAAGTGGGGCAAAGGCACGGCCAAATTCAAACGAGGCGGCGACGGCCCCGGCGGTGAATTCGATGAAGATGACGCCGCCGCCGCGGCGGCGGCGGCTGCCGCTGGCGGGAAGTGGGGCCCCGCTGGCCACAGCAGCGTGCGGTTCAATCGGCCCCGGCGATGCGATGAAGATGACGCCGCCGCCGCGGCGGCTGGCGGTGCCGCTGGCGGGAAGTGGGGCAAAGGCATGGCCAAATTCAAACGAGGCGGCGACGGCCCCGGCGGTGAATTCGATGAAGATGACGCCGCCGCCGCGGCGGCTGGAAGCGCCGCTGGCGGGAAGTGGGGCCAGGGCACGGCCAAATTCAAACGAGGCGGCGACGGCCCCGGCGGTGAATTCGATGAAGATGACGCCGCCGCCGCGGCGGCAGCTGCTAGCGGCGGCAAGGCCGGCCCCGCTGGCCACCGCAGCGTGCGGTTCAATCGGCCTGGCGATGCGCAAGGCGGCGGAATGGATTCGGAGCACCTTGATGGAGGGTCTCCTTCCATTGCCAAAAAGGCGTCTTCAGGCCAACGAAGCGTCCGCTTCAACCGCCCGGGCGACGGCACCAACGGGGACCTGGAAGACGACGACGCCGTCGCCGCTGCCGCGGCGGCGAAGCTTGCTGGCGGCGCAAAGGCCGGCGGGGGCCGCAGCGTCGGCCGCTTTAACCGCCCCGACGGCGGCCAAAGCGCGGGCGACGTGGATGAGGAGGCGGCGGCGGCGGCGGCGGCGGCAGCCGGTCACCCGGCTGGGCTGCCGCCCAATCTCCGCAACTTCAACAGGTACGTACGTACGTCATACGTACATACGACACAGTTCACTTGATAACATGCTCATGGGACCGTTGTTGTTATTGAACGCAATCCAAACCCTAATAACCGACATTATACCACATCGGCATTTCCCTCGTTGCAGCTCCGAAAATCGTTAACACACACGCACACACATACACACATACACACATGCACACATACACACATACACACATACACACATACACACATACACACATACACACACATCCACACATCCACACACATATACACACATACACACACATACACATATACACACATACATACAAACAGCATTCCCCTCTCACGCAGGCCGGGTTTGGGAGATCATGACGGCTCCATTGACCCCGAGGCTGCTGCCGCGGCGGCAGCGGCGGCGGCGGCGGGCGCGCCACCTCCGGTCACAGGCTTCGGCAAGCCGTCTAGGAAGATGAAATTCGCGCCCGGAACAGGGGAGGTAAGAAACCACATGGCCCCCACCGCCTCGTGCAGCTATTCACATCAATCAAAGGCACGCCAACTAACCACCAACCGACAACGACCAAACGCTACAACCGCCAACTGCATTCCCACAAACATCTCTTCGGACAGTATTATCTAGATTACCACAGCTTCACATGACACCACTCCGTCTTTGCCTTTTTTTCATCAATCACTTTGGAATCGCTCCTATCACCCATTACCTTCCCTTTATTTGTTTCATATAGATAGCTATTACAGTAAATAAATTCCTTAATTAAATATTATTTGTACAACTTTTCTCTCCGGCCGCCATGTGGCAGCGTCTGGCCCCGGCGGTTAGGCATCTAACGAACTCCAGCTAATATCTAACTAACTCCATGTGCCGTTTCATGCCATACTGTAGGGCGCGGATGACGTCGGCGATGACGGAGGCAGCAGCCCTCAGAACCCGGCTCCCGGTCCTACCCGCTCGGGAAGGTCCGTGGTAAGTGAGGTGGAGATGGGGAGGGTGGGGGTGAGGGAGATGGGGAGATGGGGAGACCGGGAGCAGCTGGGGGAGTTGGAGATAGAGCGCCTTGGCAGGGTAGAGGCCCGTGTCGTTGTCACTGTTACCGCGGGCCACTAGTTTTGGGGCTGCGAGGTCGGTTGGCTGTCGGCCAAATGTTGCGAGAGCCGGTGGACTCGTCGGCTGGCGGGCTCGCGGGCAAGCGGGCTGGCGGGCTGGTGGACTCGTCGGCTGGCGGGCAGGCTGGCTTTACCATATGACTTACTCTGACGTTTGGTACGGAGAGGCCACGAAGGAAATATATAGTCTATGGGAGCAACTTTTGGTTTGGGTCACGCATCCTATCACTCCTTCCTCCTCACTAATTTTGAATTTGAATCCCAACCGCAACTGACACCAACCGCTGTTATCATGATATGCGATTGTCGTACTAGGGCGGCGGACGGAGTGTACGGCAGTTCAAGTATGCGGACATCAACGGTGTGGACGAGGACGATGTGGAAGAGGAGCTATTGGATGATGCACCGCAGCTGTCAGCCAATGCGACGGCGGAGGTACGTCTGTACATATGCACATATTTATGTATGTGCGTACTTGGCACACGCATTCGCATTCGCGCGTGACGCGTGTTGAATATGTGTGTGTATGTCTCTGTGTGTGTGTGTGTGTATGTGTGTGTGTATGTGTGTGTGTATGTATGTGTGTGTATTTGTTTTGCTACATATCGATTCGGGCCTGGCGCTAGCAGGGGCACCTATCTGAACCCCAACGGGAACGACCGCCGAAGCAGTGAATGCGTTGAGAAAGGAAAGCGCTCTATATGCAAGCATTAAATTCAATAAAAACGAACAAGGATTAAAAACGAACGGCGATTGGTAGAAACTTTTGCGCTGATGGGAGGCGGCAAGGCGTGCAAACATGCGAGCATCCGTTTCTGTTTTGATAAACTGCAAGTGAGTAATACCGAACTGCCGTGTTACCTACATAAAGCATAAATTTCAGCATGCATTCCTTGTGGTGGTTTCGCTATCGCAGGAGCGTTGGATGCATGAGCGCGAGATGCGGCGGCGCGCTCTTTTGGAGCAGATGAAGGGCAATGCCTGGGGCGGATCTGTGAAGCACCGTGAAAGATGCTGATGGTCATGATGAAGGAAACCATCGATTGTCATCTTGCTAGAAGGCAACGATGCATGATGCTGATTTGGAAAATACTCGTGACGGTAACCAACATGCTGATGAGCTATAGTAAGCCCGCTTGAGTTTGGAAACGTTTTATTATGGAAAAGTATTTTTGTACGTGTTGGAGGGTCCGCTGTGAAAGGCGTAATGCGGCGAACGGGCTGCTGCCTAGCTCTAGTCGTGGCCTGGACTCGTGAAATCAATAGCCACGAGGACACCTGATTATATGCTGGGCAAAGCTCATCTTTGCGCATTTTTCACCTCTTCGATTAGTTCCTGCTGCTTTTTTCTTTGCCTCTTCATCTTTTTCCTGAATTGCCCTTTCCCTTTTCGTCTTGTTTGATTTACATGGCCTCAAGCCATCGCCCATCGCCTGTGTTTCTTTAACCGGTGACGGTGTACAGACTATTTGGGGGCTTTATTCATGAAGGCGCCTTTCGCGGCCACTGTCTTACAAACTCGTTGATTTGAGTCGATGCATAGCAGGCTGGTGGTGATGCAGCGCCTGCTGAGTTATCACATTCATGCTGAACTTCGCTAGTCCGTCAGCGCGAAGCGTGCATTCCGCCTTGCTGCGCTATGCCGCACCTTACTAATTTGGTGTATTGTGCGGTGCTGTGCCAGGCTATGGGCCGGGGCGCCTTGCTCGGCCCTTGGCCCTGACAACGGCGCCCCTTATTGTTGCATTCTTATCCTATCTTATACTAGCGCACAGCGCAAAATGCATGCGTGCAGGCTGGTTTGCCTGTTTAGGCAACGTGTCTGTGAGGTAAGGGACCCCCGTTCCGCTGGTTTGCAGCGACTCAGGGCGCCGTCCACAATATTACAGCCCGCGTTCTCAAGCCGCGGTTGCTACAATGCTTAAGAACACCATGAGTTGGGGAGTGTTAATCAGGTATATTATCGCGTCGAGTTCTCTGGGGAGGGTTACGCGCCTTTTGCGCTCTGCTAGCGCATGAAAGGCTCAGCTTAATTAGGCAACCACCTCTTTTTTGCTATCTTTGGTATCTTTGTGGAAGCACCAAAACTACATTCAATTATTTATAACCTTGATGAGCTTTTCCATGAGACTGCATGACTTGGCTCGACCAGGTCACAGCCAAATCTATCTTCTGTATGTTTGTCCGCCGTAAGTTATTGAGCGCGATCCATGGACCGTACTGAAAGATGTGTACGACAGTGTACGAACGTGATGATGCATTGTTCTCTGTCTACGGATGCTGCTGGTACGGCTGTTGTTGTGTGGCTGTGGTGTATCGCGGCAACAGCAGTGGTGGTGATGACGTCGTGGCTATGTCTGCCTGTCTGTCTGTCTGTGTGCATGTGGGGAAGAAACGAAGGAGACTGAGCCGTAACGGAATAATATAATTTGCGAGCGTGCACGGCCTCATCGTTCAAGGCACTGGGCAAGCACCATTTGTTTTGGGGGATCTGACTTTCGTTGCAAGGTTTTGCAGGTGTCTTTTTTGGAACTGAAATCGGTTGGATCCAAAGGAAAAACCGAATCCAGGCCTGCAGGGGAAAGTCCTTCCCCTATAGCGTTCCTTATTAGGCAACGCTTGCAGATCCTGCGAATGGATTACGATTTGGATTCCTAACATGATGAAGGCTTCCAGGACATTAACATCCACTGGCAGGGAGCTGTACTTACGAAATCTATGTACGACAATACAGTACAGACTGTCGTACGTAAGTACATGTCTTTTACAGTACTCATTGAGCAATGTGTAGTAAGAATTAATGCCATCGTCGTTTCCCCTGTGTTTGCAAGTGAGCGTGTGGCACTGGAGGGTCTCTCGAGCTCCTGCTTTGCCGCCAAAACTGTTTGTGTTTATATTCACGGTGAATAGCCTTCGTGGCCAAGTGCACTTCGGAGCATGCTAATGATTGAATGTTGGTGTGAACGTCGTTGTTTAAGTCGGGCTGTGCAGAGGTGTTCTTTCGGCGTGCGTGAGAAGTGGATCTAGATCTGGATCTGGTTTTTGATCTGGAAGGTTCAATCTGGATTTTCATCATGAAGCAGTTTGCGAATGAAGTGGAGCTGGATACTGGAAGTCATTGTGCAAAAAATATTTGAAAGAAACGTCGATTTTAACAACCATGAACAACCATTTGGAAATGTCTCATTTACCTACCAAAACGACCGGTTGGGTTATAGCTCACCGGTCGGTTACCGACGGCCCTTATATGCCATAAGTTGGAGGGATGGATTTATGAAAGGGGGGATTTATAGAAGGATGGCGGGAGGGAGGGAGGGGGGGTGTATGGAGATCGGCATATGTGGAGGGGTGGAGGGACGTATGCAGGGCGGGATGTATGGCACCACTCCCTTCGCACATCACATACAAACTGGAAATCTGTTAGTTAGTTAGGACCCCGCCGTATCATTTTATGGGAGCCATTCGAGTAGTGCCAGTTGCTGGATGCCATGCATGGCGCTATTTAGCAGAGGTGGTAATAGCGGATATATGTGAATTAACTTGTTACAGGGTGGGAGGCTTCTGGGCCATTTGAACACATTGTCATTTCTACGATTTATCATACCATACAGGACCATACACCATTACCACACTGTACTACGCCATACGAACTGGACGCTATTTAGCAGAGGTGGTAACAGCGGACATAAATACATATGAAAGGCAAGTACATCATCCATAGCATGTCACCAGCCGTCCGGGGTGCTTTGCGGGGATTGCGGCGGCACGCGCTGCACTGCGATGACGCACCCAGGTACATCCAACAAATCTATCAATGCACATCGTACTTGCAATTGCTTACCAGTTCTGCAGTACATCCTAGCTAGAGCCGTCGTACATGCATGTACAGCAATACGTACATCTTAGTCATCGTCCCCGTATGTACATCGTCGCCCTTATCACCTCCGAAGATACCAGCCAGCGGTGGCGAGAAGACCCCTGCTTCCATATATATACATACACATGTGTATATGTATTTATCCAGACACACGAAGTACGTGCACAAAAGGTCAGATTTTAGGGGGGCTGGACTTAAAACCCTAAAACCTTAAACCCTAAAACCTTAAAACCGTGTGGTTTAAGAGCCCCATGCCAACATCACTTCCACTGATTCTGGGGACAGTCGGTTGCCACAAGACTGTTGAATGAATGGTGGTTGTGGTTGGGGAGTTGAGGTTGCACCGCATTGCTGCGCCGCCGGCCCCCAGGCCAGTTATAGATTCCAGAACATATGTATACATGACATGCCGTACAACCTGAAGCATAATATCTTGGCAGTGAGCCAAAGCGGAATTTAGTGCCAGACTGTAGCAGTGGCAGTTGCTCGTCCATCCCGTACACGTCACGGTTCAGATAACCGCAGCAGTTACCCTAGCTGCCCCACGATGAGCGCCCGCGCGCGAGAGAGAGAAAGAGAGACAGGACATACATACGTGCGCCGCCATCATCGCCATTTATCCCCCTCTGCCATTTCGCGCGCCCTGCTGAACGGTTGCAAAAGCCATAAAAGTGCCGAGTTAAAGCGAACCAGTGGTTAAAAAAAGCCCGCGAAGTTTGTCATTTGCCGTACGCCGATCGCACTGGGAGGTCAAAAACACTCCTGGGTATCCCTTCCGTACAAAGTATGGCACTTGCCGGAAATCTTCCGAAGCTCGCCTTCCGAAGGACAAAAGCGACCAGCGATGATCATTTGTTTTCCTCATCATCAAATGCTTCTTATTTACAGGTCCGATCCATTTCAACAACGAACTCAACAGAAATTGGTTGGCCTTCCCTTTACGGACAACCTTTGGAGACCTTTTGCTTGTCCCATTTTCTTCAACCCAAAGTTTGATGACAAACCAAACGGAGCCACAAAGGCGACGACACCCCTTGGTTTCACCAAATTCAACTGAATCACGATTGATCAAGCAATCTAAAACATTTTTAGAGACGACACTCCCCAGCTGATTAGCTAGCAGGACATCACAGTCCCTAAACCCCAAATTACGGACGATCGTAACCGTCAAACAACCGAAAAACGTGATTTGTTTTAGTCGGTTAGCAACCGTCAACAGCAACAGACAGAGGATGGCCCGTCAACTGTCATGTCGCCTCTCAATTCATCCATCCATCCAATTTTTACCCATCTTTTCCCCCCCCACATACTAAGCCAACCTAAGCTCTCGAGCCGCCTTCTAGGAGGCCCTTCGCGATGATCATACCGTACAAAATGCCATGCCTTTAAGAAAATAAACGCATCATATCACACGCCTTCTAGGAGGCCCTTCGCGATGATCATACCGTACAAAATGCCATGCCTTTAAGAAAATAAACGCATCATATCACACGCCGTGCCGCCTCCACCTCCAAACTTCGTACCGTACGGCTACTGCGTCTACGTCTTTGCCACTGCCGGACTGCAGGCTGCATCTACGGTGGTGACACCACCGCTGGCGCCTTACGGCGCCGGCGGCGGCTGCGCTTCCGCTTCCGGCGCTGACGGCGAAAGCAGCAGCGCCCTCAGCGGTAGGCTGCTTACGCTCACATTCACGGGGGTGGACGCGAGCGGGTGGTGCTGGTGGGTTGCTGCCCCACGCACCGGCCCATGGGTAAAATGTGCGCCGCCGGTGCCAGGACTGACTTCGGCTCCGAAACCACCGCTGCCGCTGCCGCTGGCGAGTCCGCGCTCCGACGCCTGCATCGCGACCTCCAACACCGCACCAGCGTCGCGTTCATGATGGCGGTGCCGGCGGTTGTCGTTTTGTTCCGAGCTGACGTCGCCATCATTATCATCATTATCATCATCATCATACTGCCTCACGAAGCCTTGCGGCCCCCCGGCTGCAATCTCCGTTGCAGCCTGCGCGCCAAACAAACGAATAAAAAACAAAGGAGTAAACCAATAAACAAAAAAATGAACAAATGAACAAATAAATAAATAAACAAGTAAAAGCGAAACTCAGTAATCGATTACGAAAAGGTTGGCATCAGCGACAGCTTTGAACACAAAAAAGAAAACCAAAAGCAACAACAAAAAGCTGATACATGTTCAGCTGTTGGCAGAATATGTATTTTAACAAACAACGACAGGTATGAACCAACAAAACCAGAGAAAATGGGGCAAGGTCCTTAGCTGCCGTGTCAGTTCGGACTTCGCTCAGCTACGCAGCGACTTTCCCTTCCGACACACCTTGCACGAATGGTCCGAAATTGTACTGTTGTTGGGCTGGAAACCATCCACCAAGCCGCTGCTGTACCGTACATTGTGGTACCGCCCCGCCCGCGCTAGGGACATCATGTCGCCAAGCACCGACAGGCCGCCCTCCAGCGGCAAACCCACGAAGCCGCTGTCCGCCGCAGCGGCGGCGGCGGCGGCGGCGGAAGAAGCGAGGAACGCGCTACAGCCGCTCTCGCTCAGGGAGCGCTGCCGCCGCAGCGGCGGCACCGCTGCGTCGCCGCTGCCGTCAAGCCCCGCCGCCGCCGCCAGCGCCTGAAGGTAGACTGACTGAAGCCCCCCTGGCGCTCGCTGGGAGCTGTGACGCGGCAGCGGCGGCGGCGGCGGCAGCGTCTCACTCGGTGTTTGCTTAGAGGGAGGGCCACCTTCGGCAATCCTGCTACTGCCGCTGCCGCTACTGTTGCTCCGTAGCCGCGACGCTGGAAGATCAAACCCTGGGGTGGCGGGCTGGGGCGTCGCCGCCGTTGATGATGGACTGAAGCACAGGCGGCTGCCGTTGCCGCCGCTGACGGCGCCGCTGCCGCTGACTCGGCTGACCAGATGCGGCAATATATTCTGACTAGGCGCCCATAGCGCATCGCCGCCGCCGCTGGCCGCCGCTGAGCTAAGCGCCCGGCCCGTGCGCAGCGGCGGTCCGACGGAGGCGCCGCCGAGCACCAATCGTGGCGTCGCCTCCAATGGATCCAAGTACGGCGTACTGCCGCCAGAATGGCGACGTACCGCACCAGCAGCAGAAGCCGGTGGATGAAAACGCAGGGGATCCGTCTGTAACCGCTGCCGTACACTGCTCTGTACGGAAAATCCTTCGCCGCCGATGGCGACGGCGCCACTAGCGGCTCCCGTCGACGCCATTTTCATTGCCATGGATCGCACCGTTAGCTCCATAAATCCTGATCCGGATCTGGATCCAGCACCAAATCCGGATCCAGGATTTGGCCCGAACAAGGCAGCTGGATCCAGATCCGGCGTTCTTGGATCCAAGCTGGATTCAGCCACCGGGCCCGGTGCCGTCGTAAGTACCTCTTCAGGAAATGTTAGCGGCGCAAGTGTGCCGGCTCGGCCCAAAGGAATGGCTTTGAGCGGCAGCGGTCCCGCCACCGACCCCGAGGCAGCGGCGACGCTGCCCGTTGCCGCCAGCGACGGCAGCGGCTCTGCCAGCGGCGGCAGAGACTCTGTTCGTGGTTGCAAAGGCTCAGGCAGCGCCGCCGCCGCGACGGCGGCCGCCGCCGCTGCCGCTGTGGGCAGCTGTGCCGGCGGCGGCTCAGGGCGCTGCGGGAGCGGCTCGGGGCGGGGCGCGCGGAGGTTCAGTTGCGGCGGGCTTGAGGGCGAATTCAAAGGCCATGGCGAAGACGCAGGCGGCGTGTTCGCCCGTACGGCCTGCAACGCGGCGCTCGTCAGCGGCGCGAGGCTCTGGCGGCCAGCCAGCGGAGGCTCCGCCGCCGTTGGAAAGCCAAACTCCGCCGCCCCAGACGGCGCCGCCGCCGTTCCCCCCGGCGGCACCGCCGCCGCCGCCGTCACCGTCACCGGGCCACATGTCCCCGGATCGGATGAGCGCGAGTCACGGGGATGTACGACACAAGGCAGGCTGGCGGCACTGCCGCCGACGATGACGACGGCGCCGCCAGGCCCTGCGCCGGACACCCCGCGGGCTGAGCTGACCGACGGCCGTGACGTCACCTGCGGCGGCGGCGGCGGCGGCGGCGGCAATAGCTGCTGTAGCTGCAACTGATGAGCGCTAAGACTCCCTCCGGGGTTACTCATGTTGTTACTGTTGTTGCTGTTATTGCCAAAAGTGCTGTTGTTGCCGTTAGTAGTGCTGTTGAGGTGATGGAGGAGCTGCGCGTGTTGCAGTTCATGGGCTGCCGCGAGGACCAGCTTCTGCGACGGCGCCGCCGTCAACACCGGCGACACCGCCCCCGGCTCGTACGACGTGCCCGTCATGCTTAGCCGCCGACTTGAAAGCGGTACCGTTGAGGCCCTCCGGCACTGCCATAACGAAGGAGCTACCTGCCATGGATCTAGCTGAGGATGGACGGCCGCCGCGCTGCTGCCCAGCCGCCGCCGCTGCCGCCGCCGCCGCCAGCTGGCTCTGGAGCGCGGCTTGCGCCGCGCCTGGTGCCAGCGGCAGCGGCACTGAGGACGATGACGAGCAAGATGCCGTCGGGGCGAGGTCTGCACCGTTCCGGGGTGTTGTGGGGTTCGCGAGGCGGCCTGTGGGCGCGGGGGCAGCCGCGGCTGACGTGGACGGGCTTCCCGGCGGCGGTGGCGCCGCCGCCGCTGCCGCCACCGCAGCCGAAGCCCCGAAGGGGCTGCCGGGAACGGCTGGGGTTCTAAGAGCGCGCCCGCCGCCGCCAGAGGCGCCAGCACCAACGGCGGCGGCGGCGGCGGCACCTGCAGGCGTACTTGAAATCCCGGAGGATAGTGAGCCGCCGGCGGCTGGTTGTGATTTAAGGGGACTGGCGCTGCTACTGCCGCTACCGCTGCCACTGCCGCCAGCAGCGGCGACCAGAAGACCGCCAACGGGGCCATTGCGGCCGCCAACTGATCGGAGGCTGGTAGACGGCAGTAGCAAGGAGGGCATGGGCGCCGACAGGGGCGAGCTACTGCCGCCGCCGACGCCGCTGCCGCCGCTGCTGCTGCCGACAGTGGCAATGGCAGGCAAAGAGGATGACGCCGCCGACGGCGGTGACGGCGGCGCGGCGGAAGTGGAAAGCTGGACAAGTCGAGTGCCGGGACTGCCGGGGCCGCCAGCGACTCCAGGGACGCCCAAAGGGACGCCAACTCCAGAGGCTGCAGGTGCCGCCGCCGCCGCCGCCGCCGCCGACGGCGGCAGGGAGACCGGCGGATCGAACAAGAGCGGTAGCGGACTTCCGTGGCTGTACGGCAACTGTAAGGCGTCGTATGGACTTCCATTGGATGAGTGCGTGTGGAGGGAGCGACGTGTGTGTACGGAATTGAGGTGTGGCGGTCCAAGGCAAGGCGGCGATGGCGGTCCGCCGCTGGATCCTCCCGCCGCCGCCGCCGCCGCTGCGCCGCTGCCGCCCGGGCTGCTGTTAGTGGGGCTTGGGAGCGACGTGAGAGTCGGTGGCGGACGAACTGAGAGGCGAGCGGGCGAGGCAATGGGGGAGGAGGCTGTGGAGGTAATAACGGGCAACGAGCCACCGTTACCGTTATTACCGTTACCGTTACCGTTGGTGGTGGTGGTGTGGACGGGGCTGCTGGCGATGGGGATGAGGATGGAGTTGCCATAATTGAGGTTGAGGAGGGCGCTGCTACTGGAGAGCGTGCTGGCGGCGCCGCCGCCGCCGCCTCCGGGGGCTGTGGGGGATGCTGAGGACAGGTACTTGGCAGCTGGGAGGTTGAAGGAGGGGCTTGCCTGGAGCAGTCCGATGGTGTCGTGGATGCCGTCCATTGTACGACGGGAGTTGCGCCTGGGGGCCCCGATGCAGGAAACAAGTCGAGTCCAGTCGAGATTGGCGAGGAGAAGCGCAAGGGAGGAGCCGAGCGGGGGCAGGGTGCGTGATGTGGTGGGTGTCGGTCGCCGAATATCTGTCGGCGAGAGGAATGCTATGGATAAGATATCGGGTCAGGTCTGTGGATACGTCCAGCTCGAAAAATGGGGATGGGTTAACAATGCAGAGCTGCAGACGGAAGACATTATTAGCAGCTGCTGTTTAGGATTGACCTGCAGGCAAGGGCTTAGCTTCCCAAATGAGGTGCATTGAAAGTTAGCAGCTCGTACATCAATGAAGCGCAGAGTATATTATCATGAACGGAATGAAGTTGGGTGGTTCACAAGGAGGTGGGGAAGGCAGACGGATGGAATGCGCTCGGAAGCCTAAGACAATCACCAGACATTTACAATTGAGAAGTTTCTTTTCTCCATTCTGTAACCATAAAGCTGTTGGAATCCTGGCATGGAATCTACGCCTTGTCTGAAATATGTTTGCACTCTTGCTGGGGATGGAAAGCATGTCCGGTTGTGGCCCTGTCCCCACCTCAAATGAAGCGCGCCTTCCGCCTCCACCGCACCCGTTTTCTCTCCAGCAGCCTGTCAACATGTGCAAGCAATTTTGAACAGTTCGCATATGCCGTGCTTACCGAGATGGTACCTTAAACCACGCACAAAAACTCCGACTTCCGATACAATGGACAAACCTTCAGAGTGCGTAGCAGGGACACTGCGTCGTCTGTCGCCATTTGCAGGTGTCTATTCAAGGACCCCGCGGCTGGCCGTTAAGGTCTTTCCTTCAATTCCTCAGCAACCATCATGAATGTATCAGATTGCATACTTTCTAATCATATTTTGTTTTAAATTTATACGCATGTCCCGTTCTGCCCATAGGTACGTTTGGCCATAACAGTAAGCCCATTAACGACATGCAACGGCTTCAGCGGGGGACATTACAATGTCTAGGATACGTTTATGAGCCATGATGAGCGACCTCTACTGGAGATTCGAAGCGTCTCAACGTCGAATCCAGTGCCAACCGCTTCGCGCCTGCCAGGTGCTTCTTGCTGGTCCATAAATAAGCTTTGGACTACACTTGAACATGTGAACTCAAATGGCAAAATAACCCAAAAAAATTCCTCCTATTGGACCCTTCCTTCCGTGCTCAGCGGCCGGTTTTCTGGACTTGCCAGTTATTGCTTCAGCCCAGATCCGTATACATTTTCTCGATATAAAAAATAGTTGTATTGTTGTACACCTGTAAAAATGAGGACGGTTGCTCCTCGTAGGCATTTGAATGTGCACAGTCATGGACAATGACCCACGGGACTGTTGCTTTGAGCCCAGGAAATCCTTGGCTGAAGGTAGAAGCAAGATGGACTGAATTGTACCAATCTGTCCCCCTCCGTATCGGCGCGCATTTACATGTATGCTTTTGTGTAGAATCCAGCCGTCCCAGCTTTCATGGTCCTAGGAGTTCTTTAACTTCGATTGCGATTGTTACAGCGGATCCCGGTCAGGGTACCCCCGAAATTGCACGGTGGTTATAGAAAAGTCACCAGGTGGTATTATACGCGCCGACTTCCCTTATCTACATTGTTCTATCGACTGTCCTTGCGACGTACGATAGGGGGTTAAACTCCCTAAGGGTTAACGCTGGTCCAAGGTCGCTTCTTGATCCCTACAGTGGAGCTCCTAGAGTCTACATGCGCAAAGGCATTTCGGTGGGATTTTCGAATCTTACTAAATCAACGCCATAGTAAGGGTTGTAAGCTAACCTTGTTGCTATTAGTAGAATACATAACCATGAACGACAATTTAACTGTTGGCTGGGAAGCGCCTAAGGCTGGATACAGCGATCTGCGGAATGCAGAGCGCAACACTGTAGCCCAGGAGCTCTTTGGCAAGAGCTTTGAAGACTGTGACGTCGAACAGCGGCTTCAGGTGCGGAATGATGTCGCCCTTAACATGATATCGCCCTGGACGTATCCTCAGTGGCCAATTTCAGTACCTTCTGGGGTACCAAAAGAATGTCGCGCGCATCGTTAAGCCCGACTTGCACAGCACATGCGAACAGAAGGCAAGGTGTTTGCTCAATAGTTCCGCCGTCACGATACTCGAATTAGCCAGCGCCCGAAGTAGACGATGACTAGCTGCAAATACGTGAGAGGAAGGGTGGAGGGCTGGCAACGGAGGAAATTCTCTACCCAGATCTTCGTTGAACTATCGGACAGTTGGCCGGATTGGAATGCCCAAATTCTCTGCGACAAACCAGCTCCCTGAGCACCGCAGTCACGCTGCTGACCCTGCGCTTTGAACTCCCTTGACTATAACTATCTTGAAAGACTTCCGCGCGACTGTTGCAGGTTGGCTATCATGTGGGCGGTCTGAACAAGGATTTCCGCACCGCGGTCAGCCGCAAGACGCGACGGAACAAGGCATGACGGCATCCACGGCGCCCCGAAATTCACCTGCAAGAGCTGTGCGGCGAGGAATAACAACACATGCAGCTGATGATATTCATCCATGCAGCAACAGGGATTCCAAAAAAAAGAGTCTTCCTGTCTGGCGCAGGAAACAATCCGCGGCTTGGCGTGGCGTGGCGCGGCGCACCGACCTATCGAAAGTGCGTCACACATAACTCCTTAGTAAGCGCCATCTGAACGCACGGAAACAACAAAACCTATCGCGTTTCGCTGCTTGTTCTCTTCTGGAGCTGCTTCATTCATTCATTCATGCTCCAACTGATACAGACGTGGCGCTGTTGGAGTTATGTGTGACGCACTTTCGATAGGTCGGTGCGCCGCGCCACGCCACGCCAAGCCGCGGATTGTTTCCTGCGCCAGACAGGAAGACTCTTTTTTTTGGAATCCCTGTTGCTGCATGGATGAATATCATCAGCTGCATGTGTTGTTATTCCTCGCCGCACAGTATGAAGTGGGATGCTGAACTTGATTCCGTCGGACTTCGGATGGCAGCAGATTACGCCAAATGAATGAGACCCAGATGAGATGAAGATGAGATGAACCCGCGTCACATATGCACGGCATTCGACACATTACACCTTTACCGGAATTGTGCAGGAACAGGATTGTGTGTGACCGACTAAGATGGCTAGCAGTCAGACCTTACGTGGGAAATACACAGCTGGCCCTGCAACTGTGCCGTTAGCAAAACACGCATTCTGGTTGTTCGACCCCAGATGGTTCGTTTCGTTCGTAGTTCGCCAGTTGGATAACCTGTCAGCCAGCCAGCCAACCGACCTGCATGTTGTGATGATGGCGGAGCAGGACAGCCCTGTACTAACGGTTGTATTGATGTGCGGCATGTACGGCATAACGGTACTACCGATATACGGCAGGTCCTTATGGTTTGCAATTACTTCATGTTCGACGGTGTTGTCAGCAAGGCGCTTAGTGGGGTGTTGTGCGTGGTGTTGTGTTGTTTGTTGATGGGGTGTTACAGGGTGGTTAAGCTTCACCAGTGGCCTCCTTCCCGAGGCAGTTCCCTGCTCTCCCCTGCTAGAGGGGCACCCTAAGCCATTCACCCCATCCGACTTCAGAGTGTACTCTTTGAGTTGTTGTCATGTTGTTGTCATCGCTCCTTGCATTACGCGTGCACTGTAGCGTGTCTCCACGAGGCCAAAGCTGATGGGGAGGTGCGTTGCTGGATGAGTTCAGAAATAAACACTAAGTTGTGGGGTAAAGTGTTAAGAGCTGGGGCGGGTAGCTGGGGATGTTGGCTAACGGTAAAAACGGTGCTGCTGCTGAAAAGGTGCTGTGCAACGCGTAATGTGCTGTGTAAAAGTACTTCTGTAACTGGCTGGATAAGGGGGTAACGAGTACTTCGAAGGCTTCACAGGGAATGCATGGCAGCATGTTACGTTGTCCGATGCGCCCTTGGCCCATACCTTCATTGTTTCATGCCTTCGATGCTTGTCACAGAACAGGACCCAATTTGACATAAGCGTCCTATATTACTTGTCAGGGCAAAACTCCGTGCATTTTGCTTGGGGTATTGAACTGAACGCATAATCCGTGGTTGTTAGGTCGGGATTTTGCGCGTTGGCCGAGGTGTCCTGCGACAAAGAACAAATGCGGCACGGCCACGCCTCCCAGACACGCAAATCACGCCTTTAATATCCTTATTTATGTGGTCCATGCTTAACGTTCTTAACCAGAGTTCGTTTGCTTTAAGAGGACAGCAATGATGCGTGGGACAGCTAGGTGGTGTGCAGAGCTGTGGAGTACGGTATGAGGTCTAACCGAAATGGGTATGAACCGATCATTATGCATGGTAACGAATGGAGACAATGATTCCGGAAGTAGTACTGGCAAAAGAGCGGAGCGCCTCCTAACGCCCTTCGGACAGGAAGTACGACGTCGTAAGACGAATTGTCAATCGGGGCATTCGGAGTCACGGCATGGTAAGAGGCAGTTAACAAGTTGTGAAGAACTGGATAGGCGCGTTTCAGTCCGGTACTTAACTGTTCGAAACCTTGGCAATAAAATAAGTTATTGGTAGGTCTGCCTGTTTGAACTTTCATGGGCTAGGCTGGCATCTAGCCGTTCAGCATGCACTCTTGCCTTTCTGGACTTTAAATTTATTGGAAATGATAACGTACGAGAAGAAGGAAGACTCTTGTATGCCTTGAATGTCGTTCGGCGAATGCTATTCGCTACCTCGGATTCGAGGCCTTGATTAAGGAACATGGCGCCAAGGAAGCAGCAGAAAAGGCTGGCACCGTCAGCGGCTGCCATTCCCGACCTGTACGCGGAACTTGGTTTGGCGCGCGATGCAAGCATCGACGACGTTAAGAGGGCCTACAGGCGCCTCGCGCTGCAGTGCCATCCAGATAAGTGCCCAGGAGATGAAGCAGCAAATGAGAGGTTCCAGCGTATCAGCATGGCCTACAGCGTCCTCTCCGATGAGCAGAAGCGGCGGTATTATGACCAGACCGGCACGACTGAAGGTCTTGACATCAGCCCCGACGAGTTTCTGGACATGTTCCAGTCCTTGCTGCTGGAGATTATCGGCGGAGCTGACATGATCAAGGTATGGCCACCGGCCCACCTCACCGAACGGGCTACGTGATTTCCATTACTGCGCCATATCCCTGCCCCTTGACAACTTGTAGGCGATGCTATCATGCTTCACACCCCGTGAACTGGCACGGCTTCCACCGTTTCCCTTTCCCAAGGAGCTTTTCCCGCCAGGTACGTCCACGACGAGGAAAACCCTTTGCAGCAAAAACTCCACTTGACATCTCTGCGACAGTGCCACGACAACAGACCAACGAAGAGTTATGTTATGGAAATAACCGGAGCAGAGGATAATATATCCCAGGAGGACAGGTCCTCTTGCATAACGCAACACCTCGAGGAGGCCTGTCAAGCTGTTTCCCATTTTCGGGGATCGTAACATGCGGGGAGAGAGAGGGCAGCACCACGAGGGTATTCTCTCGTTTCGGGCGTTTTGAGTGCGACCCAAATGGAATCTCAGCTTAGGATAGCTTACCCGACACGACGCGGTCCAGATTATACATGCATGTCAGGTGGCGATGTATGATGTGTGGGACAGGGGGGTCATATCTTCACCCTGCGGCCGCTACCCGGCAGACCCTGCCTTCCCCGGTATTTCGGGGCACCCTCATCTAGTCACCCTAGTCAACTTTTCAGTGGATCGCTCAGGTTCCGCATACACTAATGGCACCCAATGGAATCTGCTGGATCAACAACGGCTCAACTACACTCTGGTCAACTCGCAAGTTAGCTTTATCCCAAGTCACCACCGTCCATCGACTAGAGGGCACTTTATACCGTCCACCATCAGAAGGATTTTTGACCCTGACAGGTCTCGATCCCGGAACCTCCGGGGGCATCGGTGTGTGCCTTACCAGTAGTGCCTGACCTTGTATGTTTGTTGGCCTACGGCTCCCCCCCTGACCCCGCGAGAGAAGACGGACAAATGCGCAATTCTAAATTATCGCCCCTCATTTTCTCAGGGCTAAAGTTCCGACGTGCGATAGATAGTGGCGGGATGTGACCTTGTCTTGACTTCGTTTTGTGTTGCTGCTGCAACAAAAACTCTCTTCAACTGCCCTGGTCTCGTGCAGGCACCTTCCCGCCTGGGCTGCGTTTTAGCAGCAAAGGCCTGAAAGGTCTACCACCGCAGGTATGAGAGAGTACTATGGTCATGGATTTATGGAATTCGTGAGCAATAGCTATCATCATTATTGTTGTTGGTAACCGAGGCTTCACGAACCATGGAGTGCGCTTAGACCCAGATGGGATGCTGCATATACCTTGCACGTGCATGCATGCATGCATCTCCTTTATAGCGGCACTCTGAAACTTGACAGTGTTTGTCCGTTTACAGATTGATGAACTTATTCAAAATGGAGATCTGCATGCCATGTTCGCGGCCATGTCCGGGGTATCCCCCACTGGTTCGAGCGGCGGCTTCCGATCTGACGGCGCTAGCAGCCGCCGCGGTGGCGGCGCGAGCAGCAGCAGAGGGCGGGGCGGGGGCGGCGGCAACACGACGCCGCTGCGCGATCCCTTTGGCTACAGTTCCTATGGCCTTTCGCATGCGGCAACTACATCACTGTACGGCAATGCATACGTTGATTTCGGGCTGGCCGGTGGCGAGAACGACGAATTTGGGGACAGTGAAAACAGCACGGGTACAGGGAGCAGTGAAAGTGAGTGGACGGACGTTTCGGAGAGCGAGCTGGAGGCGGTCTGGGCTCAGCAGCAACAGGAGTCGCCGACGGCAGCACCGTCTGTATCACCAGGGCAGGCCCCGGAGGATGCTGCTTCGACCGCGACGAACCCCACACTCGCGCCGCCACCGCAGGAACTCCCTCCAGAAGCTGCGAGGGCTGCAACACAACGCTGTCAACAGCCAGCAAAATCGCCACCGTCGACAGCGGGAGCAGCGGCGACGACGACGGCAACAGCAGCATCCCTTAACGGCCCTGCTTGCAGCACCGGGTCGTCCTTGAAACGACAAACACCCGGTTCTACGACACCCTCACCTCCACCACCACCACCATCACAACAACAACAGCAGGCCGAGCCGCGGCAGCCGCCGCAAGAACAACAACAACAAGAACAACCGCAACAGCGATCCCAGTCACCGCCGCATGCGTCGCTGGTTCGTGACTGGATGATGGCAGCCCGGGGCTGCGATCTAGGTGCCCTGACGCGGCTCTTGCAGCAGGAGCCCGGGCTGTTGGGCTGCCGTGGTACCGGCATGGGCCACACGGCGCTCCATTGGTGCGCTGCCAAGGGCAGCGTGGAGGGGGTGGGATGGTTGCTGCGACAGGGCATGGACATCAACGTGCGCAATGACGACGGGGCAACGCCTCTGCACGCGGCGGCGCGAAATGGTCGGCTGGAGGTAAGAGTAAGAGCAGAGGGCAGGTCTAGGGTAGAGGGGCATGGAAGTATGAGAGAGGAGGGAGAGGAGTGTGCAAGGATGCGAATATCAGTTTGCCGGTGCCTAACGTAAGCAGTCACTTCGGTGCATAGTGTAAGCAGCCACAGTTGTCTCAATTGATGCACGCCGGAAACCCCTCTTGAGTTCTTTGGTGGCTGGGATAGTTAGTAAGCTGGGTGCGTGAAGTGGGTGAAGCGGGAGAGGTAGGGGGAAGTGAGTTTAGTGGAGGTGGGAGAAATAGGCGTTCCTATGGCTTTTCGTTTTATGGCTTTCTCGCATTCACAGCAGGACTCTGATACATTTCTTTTCCATGACCTCCCTCATTGACAGGCGATCGAGGCGCTGCTGTCTTGGAGGGGGCTTTCCCCAGCACGCTTTGGAACCCCTGCCGCTGGCCCAACCGCCATGGCGGCTCTGGCGGTCCATTCCCTCTCCCCTTCCGATGGCACTTCCACTTGCGCACCCAGCAACAGCAGCAACGCCGCCGCCACCGCTATCTGCGACCTCGCGGCCGTTGACGGCGAAGGCCGTACGGCGCTGCAGCTAGCGCTGCAGTTTCGGCACATGGAGGTTGCGGCGCTCCTATTGCGGACGGCAGCGGAATGGAAGCTGCCCCAAGATGGCCGTGACGGGCCCTCGACAGCAGCTGCTGCTGCGGCCGCAGTCCGTTTTGGAGTCCAAGAAGCTTTAGCGCCACTGCCCACGTGCAGTGAGGCGAGCCGGCCTTGCTCCGCCGCCGCTGCCGAGCCCGCGGCGGCGCCGCCGCCAGCGCTCGACGAAGCGCCTCCGCAAACTGCCGCCAGTGAGCGTCTAACCACTGCGGAACTGGCTGTTGCAAAGGACGCGGGCAAGGGGAGGGGAGGTGCAGCAGTAGCAGAGTCAGACGCGACGGCGTCCTCCGCATCGGAGGCGATGCCAATGTTGCGGGTTGACGACGGGGATGCGACCTGCGGGTCTTCCTTGCCGCCGGCGTGGCTTTTGGAACCGGCGGCGGCGGCGGCGGCAACGACAGGTTGCGACGGCCACGGAAGTCACGGCGCCACGGACTCTCATGCGGGACAGCAACGTCCCAGCGTCGCCACGATCAGGTCGTTGCCGGAAGACTGCCGCGCTGATGGCCACGGCTACGGCAGCAGCAATAACAGCAATGAACTAAACGGCCCCAGCAGTCGCAGTATGAATGGTTCCTCGACGGATAGCGGTAGCGGCGATAGCGATCATTGCAACACCAGTGGTGGAGATTTGTCGCGAGTGCCCGATGTTTGCGCTACCCACGGCGGCGGCGGCGGCAACGACAGAACTGAGACCGTTCTGACCGGGCCGCCGCCGCCGCCGCAGCCGCCGCCGCCAACACAGACATCGCCGCCTGTGCATAAATGTGCTGCAGCCGGGGATTACCACGATTCCGGTGAGGGGCAACGGTATGAGGGCCACTGGCTGCCTGCTGCTACTGCCGCAGCTACTGCTACTGACGATGCAGCAGCAGCTGTGGCTGCATCGTCATCACCATCATTATCAGGATCAGCCGACGCTGCTGCTGCTTCGGCAGCACCTTCCGCTGTTACACCACCACTACCACCATCACCACCATTATCACCATTATCACCATCATTTGTTGGTGCTGATTCTGTCACAGTGGATGATGTTGTGAAAGGAAAGGCGGATGCTTGTGGCCGTGGCGGTGGCGGCGACGGTACGCCGTCGCCGCAGCCGCCGCAGCGGCGGTCCGGCCTGACATTGGAGGAGAAGATGGCGCGGCGGGCCGCGCTGCTGGCAGCGGACGCGGCGGCGGAGCGGGAGGAGGCGCGCAGGGAGGCGGAGAAGTGAGTGGGAGATACGGATCACAGTGCAGCCGGGGGGATAGGGCGCAGGCTCCTGTATAAGCCAAATCCACTCTCTTTCCGCTCGGTCAGGTGGCCATGTGCCAAATCCCTTTCCCGCCGCCATTAGTTTCTATTCTGTACTTTGTAGTACCTAGTTCTATTGGCCCGCCAGCCCGCCGTGTGTGTGTGTGTGTGGAATTGCTCGCGTGTGCCACGTGCTCTTCCTTCCCAAACACCTACGCGCTTCCCCCTGTCAAAAATCGGGGTTTCCCCCGAAACCTCCCCTTCCTCTTTGTTAACCCCTCACCCCTCATCCCGTTCAGGGCAGCGCAGGCCGAGGCGGCCGCCGCTGCAGCAGGCCTTCGCAGCCGCGAGGAGGGCAGGGCTTGGTTGGAGGCAGCTAGGCGGGGCGATCTGCCCACCCTGGAGCGAATGTTGGCGGAGAACCCCAGACTGCTCAGCTACCAGGTAGAGGGCAGTGGCGTTGCTAATGGAAAGGCGTCTCGCCTCCTTAAAGAATCTCATACCGCTGTCTATTTTATGCCATGGTCAAAACTGCATGGCTGGCTGTTAGGTTTTCCACAAGTAATACCACTCCATCTACCATGGACCAAATCCGCTGGACTTCACCCTTCAGCACTTTTTGTTGTGAGGTATGCGCGTCCGTCATTATGCAGATGATATCCTTGTCCCCCCCCGCCCCGTCTGGTACACTCTTGCCCTGGCAGCAGCTTCACTCGTTTGTGGTTCGTCTTTCCCCCCTGCCCCCGCCCCGACGCCTGGTTTTCCTCAGGGTCAGGGCACCAGCTTCGCCTTCACTCTCCACACCGCGTTGCACTGGGCAGCAGCCCGGGGCCACACGGCGGTGGCCAGGTGGCTGCTGCAACAGGTAAAAGCAAGGGGGAAAACGGACGACTTTCCTTGCGGAGTGTATTATTGGGGCCGCTGGGGGAGGTACATGGGTACATGGGAGTGAATGAATTTGGGGTATTGGTCAGGGCGATGAGCAGACAGGGAACGGCTAACCAGTCGAGATAGGGTGAGAGCAGTAGGGCAGTAGGGGATAAGCCGAAGGGCTTTCGAAGGTGTTATCTTTCATTTCTGTCCTCGGTATATTCAGCCCTCTGCCTTCTGCTGCGCAGGGCGCCGACCCCGACCTGCCCAACGCCGCAGGCGCCACGCCGCTTCATGCTGCCGCTAGCCAGCGAGCTGACGACTGTGCTCGGTTGCTGGTGCTGGAGGCGGGCGCCAAGATGGATGTGAGTGGACGCAACCCCCTTGTGTGTGACAGGGAGGGGGGCGACCTGCGGGTCGAGCCCACCAGCCACCTCTTCCCTGGATGTTGGTATCATCATGAGGCCATGAGGACGCGTCTACTGCGCGATAGAACAGCTCCCGTTGCGTGCGCTGCCGCCCGGGTTTTACTCTCCTTCCCAGATCAATAATCAGCCTTTTTGCTTGCTTCCCTTCTCACAGGCACCACTTTCTTGCTTTCTTTCTTTTCTCTAAAGCCGTGACCTTTGTGCCATGTAAAAGAGCGTACTGTCACGCTCTTGTCCAAGTTCAGCGACGCAGCCCCACCGCACACGCGTTTCCCACTCCTCTACAGGTTTTGGACTCGTTAGGCGATACCGTGCGGGACATCCTGTTGCGCGGGGATGCGGCTACCAACTGCAGCAGAAGCAACAACAGCAAGGGTGCTGGCGGCAGCAAGGGCACCGGAGAAGGGGCTCTGCTGGTTTCGGAGCTGGAGCTGTTGGCCCGAGTGGCGGCGCTCCGGGATGCACCTGGAGGGTGTGCGGAGTGGGCACCTCGGGCGATGCGAGGGCTGCTGGCTTCGGCAGGTGGGTGCAACTGCACATGAAGTTCTACCAAATCAAAAAGCTGAATAAGTTCATGGTGCTGTTCTGTGTTTCTTTCCTTCCCTAATGTTAAAAATATTCATCAGTTGTTTTTTTCCCTGGCATCCTTGAGCCCCGTCAAGTCTACAGCGTCTGGGTTGCTGCTCGTACGAGCTGGTTGTACCTCTGTAGAGAGCCTGCAGCTGGAGGGGTGGCACATTAGCGGACATGCTACTGCTGCTGCAGGTGTCAACCCCGCTGGCCTGCTAGAGCGGCGTGAGCTGGTCGACGCATGTCAGCAGCTCATTGCTCGCTACCCGTCACGCATCATCGTGGCACCGTCCGCTGCCATCCATACCGCCGGTGCTAGCGGTGACGCTGCTACCGCTGTAAATGCGGGGGTCCATGAGACGCACTGCAGAACGGCCGCCGCTGCTGCTTGCAGCCCCCTGTTGATGAAGCAGCAACCCGTGACGGGAGCAGGGCGGCCGGAGCAGCTGACTGAGGGAGGCTGCGACGCCTCCGCGGCTGGCGAGGGTGAGGGGGCCGACGGCACCGCCGCCGCCGCCACCGCCGCTTCGGATGCCGCCAAGCAGCGCGGTAACGAGGCATTCTCCCGGGGCGACTTTTCCAAGGCCGTGTCGCATTACACCATGGCCATGCGGCTCAATACGGAGCCGAGCGCCGTACTGTACAGCAATCGTGCGGCGGCGTATTGCGGTATGCTATATTTTGGCAAGGCGCAGGCGGATGCAGAAGCAGCGATTCTCCTCGATCCGCAGCAGCCAAAGTACCACTGTCGTCTTGGGGTGAGTCAGATAGCGCAGATTGTGTAGGGTTATAAGTCCGGAACTGCCGTGCTTATTTCCTCCAGTGTGCTGTTGCTACATTGCCACAAGACAGCAGCTTTCAGCACTGCTCCGGAGCTCCACTCGCCTTGCATCAAACGTGTGCCCTGGCGTCTCAGCTATCAACGTGCTTTAACGGCTTGCTGGCTAACAGCGTTTTCAAACTTGTCTCTCCCCTCCCGTACCCAGGTCGCATTGTTACAGCAACTGCAATTCCGGGAGGCAGGGGCGGCGTTTCGGGCAGCCCTGCGGCTGGATCCGTCGTATGCCGCTGCCCTACAAGGAGTCCAGGACGTGCGCGCTGCAATGTCCCGCAGTGCACACTGAGGCGCCGTGCTCGGCTTGTGAAGGGGGGTTGGTGCCAGCAAGGGTGGCAGGAGAGGGAAGGGGCTGGAGAGATGGGCTGAGAGCCGCACAAACCCAATCATCGATTCTCCATCTCCCGCCCAACTCTACTTCCTCCGCTGACTACTACCACCACTGGCCCAAACGTTGCCGCCGTCCAGGAGCATCTTTATGAGGTTTAGGCCGATAGATAGGCACCGGGTTGTCGGCGTCAACAATAATAAATACCCAGATGTGGTGATTGGATTGTTAGTTTGTTCTGTCCTGGGGCCCTACCCCTAGCTCCTTACACCTGGACCCTGCAAGCCTGGGGTGCGAGTAAGCACCCCTGGTGATAGCTCGTTTTGCCTGGTAGGGGCACTCGTACGAGACTTCACACGATAGCAACTTCTTAGGATGTGCGTGTGCACGTGAAGATCATGGCCATTGATGTCAATTGGGGCATTCAAAGGTGGGTACGTGGCGCGGCGGCGGTTGTGGAAGTCTTGAAGCAAAAAGACAAAAGCCGTCTCGAACGGCTGCGTCGACCTTTTTATGGCTGGGAAGCGTACTGGGATCGTAGCCTGGATGGTAAGGTGCCATCGAGCCCTTCTGGCTTTTCACAATTCAGCGACACTGACCCTAGTTGCGTGCTCGTGCCAGGGCGTGGGTTAGATGCAGAGCAGCACGGCGGTGAAAGGGGGGATTAGGGCAGGTAACTGATTACAGCAGAACACAGGGGTGGGCTTGAAGAGTCCTCAGATGCCGTTATAAGCAGCTCGGAGTAGGGCTGCAGCGGCGACTGACAAGCCGCTGCCCTCTTCCGCCAGGTCCTGCATACAGACCAGATGCGCATATGCATGAAGTGGGCGAGGGGGGAGGCAGGTGTGCGATACGTGAAGTATGTGAGCGTCAACCGGAATGTGAACATGAGACTGTTCTTTCACATCAGGTTCTGAAATAAATATGGCGCTATGTATTATGCCTGAGCAATGTCCAGAAGTAAAAGCTTGTTCAGCACACCTGCGCCATCCTGCGAGCCGCCTGTAGCTTATCGGCCTGTAAGGCACATCGGAATGTGGAAGTGAGGATACCGACCCGTGGGTCATCATCATCCAAATTACCACCGCGTGGAGCTCCGAGGGCGTCGTCCCAGCCGACGAAATCTGAGGACGACCTGCATCCATTTCGCAGCAAGTGGCAATCCTCATGTATGTCGTTACAGGGTGGTTAAGCTTCACCAGCGGCCCCCTTTCCCGAGGCAGTCCCTGCTCTCCCCTGCGAGAGGGGCACCCTAATCCGTCACCCCATCCGACTTCAGAGTGCATGGCATTTCATGTGCATTGCATGGCAGTGCGCGTGTGGTGATGTACTGGGCTATATGACGTGACAAGGGGGTCCATCCACGGGTCCATCGGCGGCTCAGACAAAGTCGCGTCTCTCCCCTGCCCCAGAGCATACACCTACCCAAACAGCACGTCTCGGTCCAGGGTTGGCGGGCTGAGGCCCAAATGCGCTACGCGGTACCCCTGCGGTTGGGAGGTACAGGGAGTGCACAAAGCCTAACGATGGAGTGGAGGGTGCAAAAGCCGGACATAGAACGTATCATCCATATCATCAGAACGTATGATATCAGCCATACACATCATCACCGGAATGGTATTCAGCATATTTTCATAAAATAATATCGCACGTAATACATGAATGGGATAGAATCTTGACGAGTGTGCCATTCCTGCCCAGACCAGAAAACACCCGCCTGCCCTACCCACCAGCTTCTACTAACTTACACCTACCAAGCCATGAAAAGCAATACGGATGGCCGTGCTTTAACTCACTGTTATGCGCGAGCGCAGGGGGAGGGCATTGACACAGCCCCCAGCGCCTGTACAACTTGGTGCTGAGGCACGGACCCGCCAACTGCCCCAACGAGATCCCTCTCTCCGTCCCTCACTACCTACCACCGTTGGCACAGAACCCCCCCGGAGTAGCGGCCCCCCAATTCATCGGCCATGGTTCCACACTCTTACCCCAAATGGTTGGTCGAAATGGAGGGGGCAAATGATCTGTGGCGATCGTACAGGGCGAAGGTATGGTGGAATTAGTGATACAAACCTCTACATAATGTAATCAGGACCCGTGCACAGACATGGATGGCACACGGAATTGGTCCGTGTTTTCGTACGGGCAGGACACACGCCCCACACCGATTTCCCCTCCTAAGTCCCCCTTCAAAACCGAGTGAGCCTCGTTCCCTGCTTGCCTGCGGTACACCGCATTGCATCGCCGCCGCTATCGTGCCCGACCCGCCGTGGTGCAGTACCAGCCTGCAGTACGGCAAAATTAGCTGATGCGCCACGTCACCACCGTACAAGTACAGGCGCGGTGACGCCGCCTCCACAGGCGCATCATCGCGGCCGTCCCTGCCGGTCCCAGCCCGGCGCATTCGTACGGCCCTGCCTTCCGGGTCGGGCGGCTCCCCCTCCCCCTCCACATCCCGCGTCCTTCGCCGCCGCAGCCGGCTGCTCGCATAACCCGCTTCCGCCCCCACCTCCAACCCCATACTGGCGCCTGCGGCCGTTGCGTCGTCGTCGTCGTCATCATCCTCACCGCTGCCACCGCCGTCATCGACTCCCGTACAGGCCTCCGTCGGAGTTTCCTTCCCTAAATCATGAACCCCTGCGGCAGCCGGTGCCGGTGCCGGTGGGCCCCGCGCTGCCGCTGCCGTCGTCGCCGCTGCCCTCCTCTCTTCGTCATCGGCCACAGACCCAGCCGCTCCCTCCCGCCCGTCCTGGTAATCATGATGCTGGCCGTGATGAGGGTGGCGGTTTCGGAGCTCCTCCGCTGCCTGGTGTAGCGGCAACCAGCCTCCACTGAGGACGAGGGCGTTCCTGTAACAGGGCCATCCGTGTCATTATAAAAAAGTGAAATACAGGAAATAAATTTTGGAAAAAAAACTTGATAAACTTGATATTAATGCAGGACGTAAGTGTGAACTGCGGGTTGTTTACTGGATGTCAGCTGTCATCTGGTTTAATTACTACCAATGGGAATTCGCCGTGAGGAGAGATTAGTGCTGATTCGCTGAGTCCAACGGGACAGTGACCATGTAAGTGGTCGCACAGCACTTAATTAATCTTAAATAACTGATTGGATGTTATAATTGTAGGAGGATTTAGAGTTGTCGCATGTGCATGTCGTGACGTAGGGCAATTGCTACGGCGTTGCGAAATACGACAGTGGCGGCAGCGCGTCCCTGTCTCACATTCCTAGATCCTGCAGGACACGGTCCAGACGCTCCAGGGTGGCGAACGGGCTCGGGATAAGGCCCAATCGGCCACTGCTGCCAAAATCCACCAGGCACCATCGCGACGAGCCTGGCGGCGGAGGCTGTTGCGGCGGACGCGGTGGAAACAAGGTGGGAGCGGCAACTTGTGGAATTTCAGAGTCTGTCGTACAGCTCGGAGCCGCGGAGTTCGCCTCCGGCTCCGCCGCCTCCGCTACCGAGGCCCGTGTAGCAGCTACAGGATCCGTCAGCAGCGTCACCAGCTCACCCGGAAGCTGCTGTCCCGCAAACCTGTAGATGAAACAAACAGATAAACAGACAGACAAACAGATAAACCGAAGAACCGTAGTTGGGGCGAGGAGCCCGACTATGGTTTCCCTATATCGCGAGCTGTCACAGAGGCCGCTCCAGTTCCATTGGACCAATCTTGTACCTAGGTTTTGGAACTCTATGGTTAAGAGGCCGGGAACGCTGTGTCACCGGGCATTTGTCGCTGACCTGGAGTTGGCACTTGGGGGCGTCACTGAGTGTTGGGCAAGCAAGGTACTAGCCTTTCTTACTAGCTTAGGAGCGGAACCCCCCACTAATACGCGCGGTAATGATCTTATAGCGTACTACGCCACCCTTAAATTGCCAGTTGAGAGCATTCTTAAGGTATTTGCAAAGCGGCTTGATGCACGGTGGGAGTGCCCGAATACCTTGGGTGACCCCCGCGTCTTCCCCATAGGAATTACCGGAGCCAAGGCGTGTCGCTATATGAACTGGATGGGAGCTGCCCCGTCTAGGGGTGCGCGTCTCGATTGGTTGGAGCACACTAAAGGGACCATGCCCCAGCGACTTCATCATGTGCTCATGCGTTTCCGATTAGACTGCTGGGAGTTAGAGGTTAATAGGCCTAATGGGCGTGAGCGCACCGCGCGTACCTGCAGGCTTTGTGACTGTGGAGCGGTTGAAGATGAGTTGCATGTTTTCGAAGAATGTCCCGCTTACATGAGCATACGGGCTAAGTATGATGGTGACCTAGTCCTTACGGGGCGCAGCATGCGCACCATTATGACTGAGGCGCCACCCCTGGCATTGGCCAGGTACCTCTCGGAAATTTGGGAGGCCAGGCACGTCGCGCTGAGGCGCTTCGCCCTGAAACGGACGAGGGAGAATGAAGATGACCTCCCGCGTACCCGCATCAATACCAATACAACGTCCATGGCCCCCTCGGCTTTTACGGACACACCCGCACTTGTGTGCGGAACTTGTAACTTGTAACAGACAGACAAACAAACAGACAGACAAACAGATAAACTAACAGGTACATACATGCGCAGCAGGAGATAAGGGCATTAAGGCAGTTCAGGATAGGTCAAGTTGATTGATTTTATGGCAACCCTGCGTTCACAATATCAACACCGGCAGCAGGAGCAGCAGAAGCAGAAGCAACACCGACATCAAAACCGACATCAAAACCGATAGCATCCAGCATCATCAACGCCACCTAATCACCAATACGGTGCTGGCAGGGCGAGCAAAATGGAGTAGATCGAGGCCGGGGTCCACCGCTGCGCCACAAAGGTGATTTGCGTCTTGTCTTGTGGGGTCGCCCCCGGCGGCGGCGGCGGCGGCAATATACGTACACGTTTGCAAACACAGCTCACCGGCACACACGAGTGTGAAACCTGCCGTATTGCACACACACCCTCCCCTCCCCTCTCGGCATCCCCTCAGCCACCTTTGCCCGCCACGCCCCGCACCATTCAACAGGCGGCTGCCAGAATCCACACACATAGACGCTGCGGGGCCAGTAGGCATGTCGGGGCAGAAAAAGATCGCTGAAGCCTGCGAAGAGGCCATCACGACAATCACATCACATCAAGGAATTACGTAAAGGATTTCATAAAGGGTGCTTATATAGGGGATTAAATAAGGAATTGGGCCTTATGCAAGGGCCATCAGAAATTGCGCCACGCAAGACACGAAGGGGAAAAGGTTGGACAAGCTGCAAACTCCAAGCTCGAAGCCTAAATAGGAAGCCCAGAGAAAGCGCACAACACTAAGAAGCCCACGATGGCACGAGAATGGCTAAGCCCAAAAATCTAATACGCCGTGTGATGGCCCACAGATAGCTCCCGTCCCGTCTTTTTTAGCTCCCCTTGATACTCGTATTTGTACTGTAGCCGTACCGTACAGCAGCAATGGCGCGGCAGGAAGGCTGTCAAGCGGCAGCGGCTCGTAGTGGCCATCATCATCATCAGCAGCAGCAGCAGCACCAGCACTACGCCCTGTGCCATCAAATTCATCGTTGTCGTTACTGTCATCATCGTCATTATCACTGGCACTGCCGGGTCGCTGTCCTCCGAGCACTAGCTTACGGGCGGCCTCGGGGCTACGATGATCACGACGGCGGCGATGTAACGGCAGCGGCGGCAGGCCCAGTACGGCACTCCGCCACTCGCCCCAGCGCTCCGTGAAGAGCGGCCACATCCAGTGCGTCACCTGCAGATCCGAAATCAAGGTCCCCTTGGCCATTTGGACAAGGACACATATCTTTTTTTTCCGTAGCTGTGCTTAGCTTTCAACTTTGTAACCTTTGCTCAGAGTCAGGCGGTCGGCCAGTCAGTTGGTCGGTCGGTATGTCCGTGAAGAAGAAACGTTGTGAGTATTCTGGATTGAACTGATTGACCCAGCGACCTCAGAACGTCCATGTACGACATTCCGACGGTTTGTCAAGCTTTCTTTCTTGTTCATTTGCTTCATGGGACTTTCACAAGCTTTAGGTTTGTCCTCTGTCCACGAGACAAGGTCTGAGACTTATGCATATATAGCTTATACAAAAGGCACATCAGCCGCCGAGCTGGAAATGCCCGACCGCGCTGGCTGTGGAGTTGTTTTATTCCACATTTCTCTCCCTGCGTCACGTGGTGCCCGTATTTGACATAAGCAAGCAGCTCATATACCTCAGCGAAGGTTACACGATGGGGCCTTAAGCGCCTTCGTTCTAAGCCCGCGCTTGGCAAGGCCGCCGTCTCCAACCCCGGCACCCCCGCCACCACTTCTTGTTGCAGCTCTGCTGCCTGACAGAGAGTGTTGAACAGTTCTGGAAGCTCGTGGCGGAACATATTTATAAAGGCCGTCGGGCAGCGGTACGGTATCATGTACGGCGCCGCCACGGCGCAACGGAGGCCCAATGCTTCCGCGGCGTGGTACGCCTCGAGCGCGAACAGGTTGAAAAGGATGACGTGCCGCTGTAGCTGCTGCTGCTGCTCCTGCTGTTGCTGTTGCTGCTCACAATGCTGGGGCTGCTGCTGCCTCCTCAGCTCCTGTTCATACTTCTCGTCCTGCTCAGCCAACCTCCGTCGAAGATACCTCAGCCGTTGTCGGAGCGGCTTCAGACGCGGGTGCAAATACCCAGCTGACTGCTCCTCAGCATCCGCAGTTCCCTCGGCAAGCATAGCGTCAGCGGCGAGGATGCGGTTGCAAATGGCTTCGACGACCTGGGATTCAGGCTGCACCAGGGAGGGCTGCGACCTGCCGCCTCCAACTGCAGGCGGTACCGCCGCGGCAGCATCGGCCGCTGCCCAACAGCCGCCGGCGGGCGGGCTCGCGACGTATTCCTTTCTGGTTAAGGAAGCATAAATGCTGGACTCCAACCACGACTGAGGTAAGGTACGGGTGGCTCGGTCAAACGTGGGCAAAGGGCAAAGTGCCTGGGACATGGACACCTCTGAACGCTCCGACCTTACCGAATGAGCTCCATGCGTGATGAACGAAGTTGAGGTTTTCTTAAAACGTTTTTCAAGATATAACGCTATACAGGCAACCGGCTGCACGTCACCCCGAGTTCCCAGCGCGACGCAGCAGACGTGAAGGTGCGAGCTGCTAGGTGACATTATAAAAAGATGTAGCAGTTAGCTGCATCGTGGCACAGTTTCAGATCCCATGTTCGTGCAGATATGTGATGTGAAACAGAGTTGTTTCCGGTCAGTCCGCTTATGAATTGGTTTCGGGATAAGTCATACGATCTGTATCAGTCATCTGACCTTCTCCTTACAGCTCCGGCAGAGATCTATGTTTGTTATCCTCCTCACTTGGTGTAAGCACAATTCCGGACGAAGGATGGTGCTGGCGGTGGAGCTAGCGATACAGCAGCAGCTCCGAAACCACCCAAAACTCCCCTACTTCTTCCTTAATCCTCATCCCCTGCCATCCACCACGCTATCTGCAATACCGTCACCTACCTACCAACAGCGGTTCAGCCTTCCTAACTGAAGACAACCTGCAGGGCCGTGCGCTTGTCGTGCTACCACCTGCGAGCTTGGCTCCTACACAAACCAGCGAGCAGCGAGCGAGCAGCCCTCTGACCACCACGGGGCTCTGCCGCCCTGCAGCGTCGGTTCCCCACAAACCCTCTTTCCTCCTCCTCCTCCTTCCAATGTACAGACCCGCATTTCCTCCTCCTCCGTTTTTAAAATCCGCTTTTACAAAGCTCCTTCCTAAGTGTTTTCTCTTCCTCTTTTGCTCTCGCGGGCGCGCAGTTCGCACAGTGCGAGGTTGTTGTAGAGGGTTTAAAAAACGCGGAACCAAAAAAAAGGCCTCTTTTTTTCGTCTTCGCGACGGCCACGACCCTTTTTCTTTGCCTTGTTCAGAAAGAGTAGGACTTGGAAAAGTTTCCGAGTTAGGGTATATAGACATCTAAGTTCCAAAGCGTGTTTCTGCCTGCCGAGACATTTTAAATTCGCGGTGGCACAAAGGCGGGCAGCGAAACATTGTAGCGGTAGTCTGGGGGAGTCTCGGGGGGAGGTCCACGCCACAACAACAGCTCCCGCTCCTCCTGCAATTGCCCAGGGCGGTGGGGCGTGTGTGTACGCTTATGCACGTGTGTCCGAAACGGGGATTTTTTGGTGGAGGTGGAATAGGATGGAATTTGAGGGTGTATACCGTACAAAACCACATTCACTTTCTCACCCCCGCACACACATACATACATACCCAGCTCCTCCCCAACCCACCCACCCAGCCGTGGACACCACGCCAGCACCACCAAAACCCTAATATTAAAACCCCAATATTAAAACCCCAATAAAACCCTAAAACTCCCCCCACCCACCCACCGACCCACCATACTGAGCAGCATCTCCGCGGTCCTCCGGGCGTCCAGGTGCTCGGAGGCGGCCGCCACCGCATCTCGGGCGTTGTTGGCTAACTCGGTGTCCTGGTGCGGGTTAGCGGGGGGTGGGGTGGGGTGGGGTGGGGTGGGTGGTGGAAATGGGCGGTGGAAGGAGGAGCGGGAGGGTCCCTAATGTGGATACAGCACTGTTGGAAGTGGGGGAGGGGGCATTTAAAGGGCGAATATTATGGTAAAAACAAAATATATAAAATGGTCTTTGCTTACCTTACCCCTCAACACCCCTGCCGTCCCCTTCTCCCTCTCCCGCCCTCTTCCCTCAACCTTCACCCCTACCCCCCCACACCACCACCACCATCGTTTGCCATTCGCCTCTGACACGTCTCATTTGCCACTGCCACTTGACACTTCCCGCCTTGTAGCGCACTACAGGTAACAACTTACAAGCTAGCCACTACATTACTACTATTTGTAATGTACAGCTATTTGTACGTCTGTATGCCTGTGTGGGCCTCCTAAAGGCGCTCCCGCAACCCCCAAACCCAACCCCCAAGCCCAAACCCAAGCCCACCCAAGCAAACCCTCACCTTGCCCCTCATGAGCCGTACCAGCTGCACCCCCGCGAACAGCATCACGTTGACCTTGCTCTCCTTCTCCACCGCCAACCCCATCAGCGCAGCAGCGGCGTGTTTGACGGTCTCCCGGTGCTGCAGATTGAGCAGCTCAGCTAGGACTGCAAAAAACAACACACGGGAAGATCGGACGGAGGGGAGCGACCGGCGCGGGGGGGGGGGAAGACAGTGGAGGTGGGGTTTAAGAAGGGGTAGGAGAAAGATGTTTTTTGGGGGTAGAGAAAGGGAAACGGCGGGTAAGTACCTACCCCCCTCGCAACACCCCCCTACCCTTGTGCGCCTCCGCCTCCCGCGCCGCCGCCTTCCCTTGCGGGTGATGACATATCTGCTCCAGACAGGTGGCTACCAGCTGCAAAAGATCCATCAATCGGGCCTCGAACCTGCGACGTTGAGAAATAGTGTATGAGTACGATATATATAACGAAATGACGCCATTCATATTACACCACAAACCTTGGAGGTTAAGCTTCCCCTCCCTTCCCATCCATCTCCACGGTGTCGCTTTCCCCCCTTTTCCCCCTCCCCCT